AACCTCCTCTGACTACCCAAACGTCGGGGGACTGAAACACCCTCCACTACATCTGAAACACACCCTACATCTTGACAATCTGTAAACCCACTCTACCGATCAGTTTGTCCACCCCTCCATAGACCTCCTACCCCCTGATATTCATAAACCACCATCACAACCCCTTTACAAATAACCCACCTATTCTACCCAAGCATCAGGGGATTGAGACATCTTTTAGCACTTACCGTCGATCCCCCCCCGCCCCCCCCCAGATCAGCCTAATGAGATATGCAACAGAAATGGCCAAAACCAGACCACTGTCCTGATCCCCTTTGACCCTGGAAACCAAGAAGGTACGCCTCAGGCCTGCAAAAACCTCACAAACCAAGACTTCCTCCCTTTCAACTACCACTTTTTTTTTTGCAATCAGACCCACAAGTCCCAAAACTGAAGGCTCGCCGACCCTCCGCAGGGCTCCGAAAACTTTTGTGGGAAAACTGCCAGTTTTCCTGAATTTATTTTGCCTGGTGGAGGTACTACTGGTTTAAACCACCAGTACCTCCTAAAAGTGCTCCGAATTAATGGGCGCGGCTTTTGGGATGAACGGGCCTGGGCCGGTAGCCCCGATTCAGCCAAGTGGAAACGGCACGATTTCCAGTTTTGGCTATAGCCGTTATCGCAGAGCACTTTTAGGAGGTACTGGTGGTTTAACACAAACGATGCATGCCACGCCCGCAGAACATCTGACAGGTACTCGGTGTCAAAATCATTTCGTTTTCTCTTCATTTCCCAATGCACCTTCCCCAAAACACGACCGTGTTCATTCACCACACAGCAATAGGTATGAATACCCCCCCCCTCCCTCACACCACACCAAATCTGACAGATCGTCATCCTGGCTCTCGATTCTAACGATCTCGGAAAACCTCTGGAATTGGCAGAAACTCTCTCCCTTCACTGACACTTTTCTCGACCAGCCAGACTATCCAGTTGTGTCGACAAAACAAAGTGTTTCACGACAAATATCGATCGCTAATTTTCACGATCGCACTTCCGAGTTTGGTGACGCCGTTGGGTGTCAGAGCCCAGATGTGTCAAGGCCTTGCTTCATTACTCAACATTCCACAGGTATCTGGACTGAAGTGGAGACCACAAACATTTGGGCTGATCAAATACATTTCGCGCGTTGTGAAGTGGAGCGAAACCCATAATCACACCGGGCACTGCCTGGGCGGTCCAGTCCACTCCCACTTGCTAGCCATGTTCATTCTGTTTTGCTACAAATCCCTGCCTCCGTCATCAACATTGGGCACAAACGGGACGGTTGCGTTTTGCTGCAGTCGTCTTCAGATTGAAGGCCTAACTCACACAGGGACCTCGAACTTGCAAAATCTTTGTACGACTTTGCTGCACGATTTTGCTGCACTACTTCGCTGCTCGGCACATTCACACAAGGGCCTCATTTGCATCCTGGCACTTGAACCATCTGCACCTCAGGGTCACACAACACAAGGAGCAGCTGGTCAGCATTCTTCTTGTTTCTCCGTGTTTTTCTTTTCCATCTCCCCAATCTGTATGTGTGTAAAATTTAGGCAGCTGTCAGAAGTAATGTTTTTTGTAGCTTTTTTTTGGGATTTCTTTCATTCAAGTCTGGCGCCTACCGTAGAAATTGGAGCTATTTGGCCTCCAAAAGGTATTGATGTGTTAGATCCTTGGGGAATCCCCTTTCTAAATACTCTTATTCTACTTTCATCTGGAGCTGCTGTAACTTGGGCTCATCATGCTATATTAGCTGGTTTAAAACAACAAGCCCTTTATGGCATATTAGCCACCTGGCCTCGTATCCCGGGTCAGACAGAGATCCCACAAGCAAGGGGGATTGGATGGGCACCCACCCAAGTCTTGATGTGTTTTATGCATAGATGCAGATAAGCAGGTCAATTGCCAGTTTCTGCACCTCCACAAACTGGTAGTGGGACCTCACCACAGGGAACGGTGTCCTCCACACAGTTGCCTACTTGTGTGGAAGTGTCAGGGGAGCCCATAGACACAAAATGGGGGAAGCGTGGAAAACAATCGGAGAAGCTAGCAAACCTCACCTGTTGCTTTGGCCATCTATTTGGAGGTGCAGCCGGTTGGCAACACACCATTTGTGGGGAACAATTCGGGGGTTGGGCAGGGAGACGACAGCGACACTACCTGCCATGGCGGAGCCCCCCGACACAGAACAATTCCCGTTTCATATGGGAAATCTGATGCTCTCTGTGACAAAACAGCCACACCGACATATATGACCACCACCATTCATATTCGACGGAAATCCCACAGGGAACCCCATTAACAGTTACCAGGTTCCTAAAAAGTAAACTAAAAAACAAAATTGTGAGCACCTCATGAGGCGCATGCATTTTGCCACATCCCGCAGCTCGACAGACCGCTGACATTTGTCACCCCTTCTGCGACTTTGATGGCCAACATCGTGCTGTGTGACTGCGAACTCGTGGCACATTTTGCCATTCAGCAAATTAAACCACTGCATTTTGCCTCATCCCGCAGCTCGACAGACCGCTGACATTTGTCACCCCTTCTGCAACTTTGATGGCCAACATTGTGCTGTGTGACTGCGAACTCGTGGCACATTTTGCCATTCAGCAAATTAGTAAACCGCTTTTGAGAGTATGCCCGGGACGGAAGGTAGAATTGACCCAAAGAACTTTCAATTCGATCCCCAGACTTGCAAAGACAAGCATGTGTTGACCAAAAGAACTTTCAATTCGAACCCAGACAAGCAAGAATTGACCAGAAGAACTGAACTGGAAGCAAGCGTTGACAAAATAAGTTCTCAATCATTATATGAGGGTTGCTTCACTCCAAGAGGATGCACATACATCACGATGGAAGCGAGAGATGATGAAATAACTTTCCATTCAATCCGAGACATGCAAAGACGATCAAGTAATGACAGAACAACTTTCTCCTGAATCATTATGCTATGGGGGTCGTCGCACCCCACACGAATGCATGCACATCAATGTAATGCCACGAATAAGAAATCAGATTGGCCACCAAACCAGCCCCTGAATGAATGAATGGGACTTTCGACATACCCTGCATTCAACGAACGGACTAAGGAAAAATACCTCAGAATTTATTTGACTTCCAATGATCTGAACTTCACAGCACCAACAATCCAACTCAACATTTTACCTTCAGGCTATTACATTAGGGAGATGATGGAGAACATTCAAATACCTCTCCCCTTTCCACTTCCACTGCTTTCCCTACTCTCTCAACTTTCTCCATCTCTCTCACTTTTGTTCCCAGAACTCTCCCATATATCTCCGTCTCCCTCCGTCTCTTCCCGCTAACCCTCTCAGTCACATTGCGTTATTGTAGTTCCACAAATTTCTGCCTACAAGCTCTCCTTTCCCCCAGCCTCTCCCATCTGGCTCCACCTCTATCCCCTAACCCTCTCTCCCACCTTTTGCTCCGCTGCTTCCATCCGAATACACCCCAATCTCACTCCTCCATTACAAAACGCGGAGGTGGTTCTCCCAGCTTCATTTCAAAACCTGTGCAGAGCCCAGCCCATCTACCATCACCAAGGGAGCCGAATGCCTCTGGTGAAAGCTCTGAACAATTGCTCAGAAAACTCCCATATTCGTTCAGCCTGCCTGCTTCAGCAAATAGCATCGAAAGCACACCCCCTCTACGAAGAGATACCATGCCCCTGCAACAAAGCAAGAAGACGTCGATGTTACCATCGTCATCAGGTAATTCATCACGTTGAGCACGTCACTCAAATTCAATGTCTAAATCCAGTACTTCATGATGACCGCTTGCTTCTATATTGGGAAACTTGGTGACCTCACTTACCGCTGCCTCATTCACATAAACTCCAGAATCGACTTCCATGAAACTAATTGCATCACAGGACAATGCATGCTCTGGGAAACTGCACAGCAATGAACAGGCCTAAACACGACAAGGCAATAATCGGTCATCAAGCAATACACAGCTTCTGTGAAATGTGGGCACTCCGTACACGTGTACCCACTTGTCAAGAGTCCAAGCACCGGAAAGTTGGAAACACATGACTGGGGGAAATGGTCCATTACATTGTCACTCTTCAGACATTCCAGAATAAAACACTCAAAAATAATCCCCACAGGCTAATGCTCAAACAGAACACATCACAAACTGTGCAGCCTGAGGCATACCAGGAACTACCAGATGTCCCACACCTTGTAGCACAGCAAGAACCTGAGGAGGGCAGAATGCTCAACGGTCCTGAAGAGGTTTAAGTCGTGGATCTGCTACAGTTGCCGTGGGTGGTGCCATATTTATTTGTTTTTCCTCTGGATTGAGCACACCATGCACGAGTTTTTTTGGGCATGGTACCTCACCCCTACCCAGCCTGGGCCAGCCATACCCAAACGGTCTAGATATAAACCCCAGGTCTGAGATCAATCAGGGGCGACACAAAAAAAAAACGAAAAGTCTGTGCTTTTATAATAGAAAATTGCCGTTTTCACTTTTAGTAATTATTGCTTGTATTGCAATGCTAAATATTCCCGAATTCTTTTACAAATTTATACGCATTTCCTGATTCTTTTTTAAGGTCTTGGGAAGGGATTGTCAACATAAAAAGAATATTTCGCACCCATGGGAATCTCTACAAGTATGGCTAAATGAAAATATTTTGTGTGGATGGCATCCAGACGCAGACATCAAGATGGTCCAGCCCTGGTTTTTGGCCCATCACACTCTCTCTTTGTCAGAGGTGTCGTTTCCTGACCGCAATCCTGCTTTCAGGGTCAGATCCATTCCGCGACCCATTCCGCCCCCCGGTGTCCAAATCCTTCTCAGAGAGCAGTGCAATCAGACTTGACCCCAAACTCGTTTACAACATGCACACATGAACATGCCGACGGCCAACCACCTTCATCAACTCAGATCCAACATTTAACTTGCACTGGCGACATGCGTCCACACAGAAAACTCAGAGATGCTGCCTCTGGCCAGAACCTGAGTCAACTGATACAACTTGCGGCTATGGCCGCCAGCACTGTCTGAAGTCCCCACTGTACACTGTCTACACCATCAGCCTCAACCTCACTGACATACGCCGGCACGAGGATCCACCTTGAATGTCCACTGTACACACACACACACACACACACACACACACACACACACACACACTGTACACTACGTAGACGTCAGCAGCTTGGCGGCTATGGCCGCCGTCGTCTTCCTCCTCTTCCTTGCTATGGCCATCGTCGTCTTCCTCAGCCCATTCCTCAGCCCACTTCGACTACGGGCACCTGCAGACCTCCAGCACAAGTCTCTCCAGCAGCGCTTCCGCAAGGCTCACAGGCGAATGAATGAATGACTGGACGCTGCCTCTTTATTTATAGTTGGCTGCAGGTGGTCTGGTCGGTTCCAGCCCTGGGCCAAAACGCGTGGGATTCCCTAGTACTTGCTGACTGGGCAAGGTGGACTTTCACCTTGCTGACTCAGACACGCCCAGTGGAACCTACGACCTTCTAGGACCTAGGAGTAGAGACTTCCAGAAGACCCTAACTAGACCTAACGGTAACGTACCTGACTGCTAACACGAAGACCTAGGGATCAAAACCTACGACAGGCTAACCTGCTGACTTCTAACTAACCTACGAGATTAAGGACAGGTCACGGGTTCAAGGGTAAAAGTGTCAATGTACAGGGTTTATGGGATAGGGCTACGGATCGAGTCCTACAGTCTGCATCTGTTGAGTAGACTGGGGTGAAACCGTTTCAGCGGTATCATTAGAGCAGTATCATTTCTTCTCGCTTTGTGATGACGTGCACTCTAAAAATAATTCATTGACATGTATTCTGCTCCCCCCCCTCTGCATCCAAGGGTGTTCTTGCACAAGCAACTCCCTGGGTGCACCCAGGGCTTGCCAGACTGATTCAGCCAGAATACACTGTTGAGGTGAACGTGCTCGAAATTTAGTATGCTGTATGATGACACGTGCTAAAAACTTTCTCCCCGTCTTCCCCTGAACACATCACACACCCATTATGGCTGTACTGGACACGAAAGCTGCCCTGCATACGTTCATTATCAGGGTGCATCATATTCGGCGGAAGACAATAGTATGCTTGAAGCACGTGAGAGAGAGAGTTTTATAGCTTGCAGTCCATTTCACAACCCTATGTTATGGCTGGGAATCATACATGCAAGTGCACCCCGTGCGGGCAATCGCTTACGTGCGGCGCGCGACGAGACGGGATCTGTGCGGCGCACTGGCACATACGGCGCATGAGCATGGAGAAAAAGAGAAAAAGCGCCACGTAAGTATTGTGCGAGGTTACCCCTCGGCATACCTGCATAAGGCCCCAGCAACAGACGAGTGCCCGCCCTAAGTGAAGGCGGGCCCCTGAATCCCAATGAGCCCTGAATTTGTCAATTTTTACAAATCTTGGTGGGCGCCAGACAGTTGACGGAGCCTGGGGGCAGACACTTTGGCCGAGAGTGAAGAAACTGGAAACTCGGTCCCATGAAGCAGGCGGCAGGCAGTGAGCCCGCCACTTTCGATTTAGGAAAGGACTGGGCTATGCACAAGGCATTCGGGCACTTGCTAGCGCTAGGTGTGGCTGTCACAAGCGCGGTCGCGTGTGAAGCAGGGTGCTGCATCAAGGCGGCACCATAGCACAGGCCCCATAGCCGGGCTTGGGCTTGGTTGTAGCTAGCAGAGGTGATAGCGTTCTTCGTATGAGGGGAGACGTGGGTGAAGAAGACGAGGTAGACGAGAGAGGGTAATTAACACTTACTACCCCAAAACCCGGGGACGCCTGCCAAAGGGCTCGCACGAGCCGGGTCCCCGACCGAAGGGCCGAGAGAGATGAGGACGATGATGTGAGAGCACATACCTGGTCTTGGCAATGGTCTGCATGGTCGACATCTGCACGTACTTCGGTTGTTGCTGCTGACGTCAATGGGTTGCTTCGTCACTACTTAATTTAGGATAGTCTGGGCGCTGAGCGCCAGTAGGAGGAAGACCTACGGTTGCATTGTTGGTGGCGGCGAGCATATGCTTTCTTTGGCAATTAAGTTCGAGGCTTTGGTCTTCCTTCGGTGTAACATCAGTTCCATTCCGCTTTCTGGACAGCATTTGGATATCTGGCTTTCAATGTGATTTGCAGTTTGGAGTTCTGTCATTTTAGTTTTTGTTCATTTTCCTTGCAAATGTCACCACCTAATGGTCAAGACTGATGTCTCAAAAGCCTATTTGCTGCTATTTCTGAGCCGAGGCTATTTTTGATTCTCAACAGGATCTCCTCATAAGGAAATACACGCATCTGCATCCTTGAAAACAGCAAAAAAAACGAAAAACAGACCGCCTCTCTGGTGCGGAACACGGGCAGATGCCACACGTCTTGCGGCGCACTGCACCGCACGAGCGGTACACATGCTGGGAATGGATTCCCTCACAGCCAAAGGCTGGTTTGACTTCCCAGCAGACAACAAACTGGCCTACGATCCCTCTTTTTTTCTTTTTTCTTTTTTCAGGGTTGCATGCCTGCCGACCGCCGACCCCGACCACCGACAGTTTTGCAGCCGACCAGCAGGGCCTACCGGTCGGCGGTCTGCCGACCAGTCAGAAAACAGCCATCCTCTGATTTGTTTTCAAATCTGAGTTAGCCCAAATCCGCTGAGAAGCTTTTGGGGATGTGGGGAGGAAGGGGGGGGGGGGGGGGGGGGGGGGGGGGTATAAGGGGGTTTAAGCGGCATTGGTGTTGAGGGGGAGTATAGGGGTAGTGGGGGTGGCTGAGGTAGCCAGACATGCCCCTCCCTTCTACAGATTTCAAGGGCAGAGGAAACAAATTACGGCCCCATATTCCTCATTGCGTACAGCTTTTCTTCTGAAGGGCCCCCAGAAGAGAATCTGCAGGGCTCTTATATCTCAGTGGAGACACTCGACGAATTTCGGATGAGTGAGGAGCAGACCAGCAATATATCTTCTGGATCCTAATTCAGGTCTGTGTTCTAGCAGTTATGGGCTACAACTACTTACTGCCATAGCTCTCTCTTTCTTCCTTTTGTTTTCCTTTTCCTACGAGCAGTGGCCCTAAGGGCCTGGCTCCACTCGTCACCACTTGCACAAAAGACAAAACATATGGTGGCGTATGATTCCATGTTCTAGGAGAAGATTCATTCTAGTTTTGCACATTTGGTGAGTGGTGGAGGGAAGCCCTGAAAATCCCGTGGCGAGTTGGCCTGCTACTGCCCAGATAATCACGTGCTCTGTGCTCCCATAACGTGCTCCCATAACTGCTGAAACACGGACCTTAATGTGAGTCTACACCATACTTGCGGCGCATCGCGATGTGCTGTACTGCGCACGTGCGCCGCACCGCGCTTCCCGCACGACGCGCGCGGACTGCATGCAGCGCACCTCCCAAAATGGGGGTCAAAAATGGGGCTTGGCCTGAAAGCTTTTAGTAACCTGTAGTCCGGGTAACACTCTGTGTGACACTGTATGGTAGGGTTATTGCAGTCTGCATGGTAGGGTTCTTGCAGGGCAGATTCAGTCATGATGAGGGCGACCTCTCAAAACGTTCTCTTCTTATTACTTCTGAAGTAGGAAAACGACGGAACTGAAAGCCGTTATTCCTGGAATTTCGTTTTTTTTAATAGAAAGAAAAAAACGTAAGGGAAGAAAATCAGAATTTCTTTGCACGAGTGTCGCCCGGTGCGTCCAACCTGTCAGAACCTCAACGGTAATTGCAGTCTGTATGGTAGGGTTCTTGCAGCCCAGATTCAGTCATGATGAGGGTCGCGATCTCTCAAGACTATCTCTTCTTATTACTTCTGAAGTCGAAAACGACGGAACTGACAGCCGTTTTTCCTGGAATTTTTTTTTGCCCAGATTCAGTCATGATGAGGGTCNGATGAGGGTCGCGATCTCTCAAGACGATCTCTTCTTATTACTTCTGAAGTCGAAAACGACGGAACTGACAGCCGTTTTTCCTGGAATTTTTTTTTTCATGGAAGAACATCAGAATTTCTTTGCACGAGTGAAGCCCGGCACGTCCAACCTGTCAGAACCTCAACGGTAATGTTCACCAACGGGCTCGCTGCACAACTCTCGACATGCASAACAAGMCATAGGGCCTCGCTGCACTACTCTCAACATGCACAAAAGACAAAAATATTGGCGGTGTATCTTTCCATATTCTAACGCAAGATTCACTCTCGTTTTGCACATTTCCAGAGTAGTGCAGGGAGGCCCATATATGGCAATGTATCTTTCCATGTTCAAGCGGAGGATTCAGTCTCATTTGTTCAGAGATTGTCCAAAAAAAAAAAAAAAAAAGTTTCCAGAGATACGCTAGTGCTTACCTGATTCATCGGCCCTTCCTTCTCCACCACCCGACGTATGAATGAATCTTCCGCCAGAACATGGAGAGATACACCGCCATATTTTTGTCCTTTGTGCATGTCGCCCCGCTTCCGGATTCATGTTGCCCGTTGATAAGGGCGGTTTCTTCAGTCCGATAGTGTCAGCACACGGTTTCTTCTCTCTCTCACACGGTTTCCTCTCTCTCTCTCTCTCACACATACACACACACACAAATGTGGCGGTGTATATTTCCATGTTGCAGCGGTAGATTCACTCGATTTTGCTCGTCGTTTCGATGGAAGTACCAGGAGGCCAGCCGTGACGTTGGAGACCTCTCTCTCTCTCTCTCTCTCCCTAAAATAAAAGAACAGTCAAATAACTCCCTAAACAAACAGTAAAATAAAATAAATAAAATAAATGGTGTGTGCACCCGGTGCACCTGCGCCCCGCCCGCACGCACCCCCCAGCGCACCAGCGCGCAGCGCACCGGCCCTGTGCGCAGCGCACCGCGCACTGCGCACCCAGGTGCGTGCGCACCTCGGGTCCGCGCACAGGGTTGATGCGCCGCAAGTATGGTCTACACCATATATAGTTCGCGTGCTGCTGCCTTACAATGTGTTCGAGAAGTGCCACTTTCGTGGAGAGGAGGCCCTTGCTAATTATTTGCAGGGGCCACTAGGATTACCCGCATGATTTTTCTGTTTAATGTTAAAGGTCTCTCCCTCTCTCTCGCGCGTGCGCGCGCGAGTTTTCACACATCACGGCGGTGTTGTTGGGTTTATTAGGGGTTCTGGACCCCCCCAAAAAAATTAAAAATAGAAAAATTGTGTGGGGTGCCGATGACCCCCGACCGGCAGGTGCCGACCAGCTGACCGGTCGGCTGGTCGGCAGCCGAGCAGTCAAGGGCCGCCGACCATCGGGGTGTGCAACACTATCTATGATGCCTAATATTCGTAAGGAAAAAGAGAAAAAGCAACCAAGTGCCGTTCAAAAATTATAACCATGAACATCAGCATTCTGAAATGAGGGACTTAGAAACCATCTTACCAGAACGAGGTCCGCCACAAGATGACCACAGAAGACAAACTGTGAGATCATCTCCCCAGCGCCTGCCTTTGCTTGATCATCCTCTTCAAAGCCATCAGCCATCCACTACACTCGTCCCAATCGCTTGTTGTCAGTGCGACCTGCACATCATCCGTTTGAGAATCAATCCAAATTTATCAAACAAACTAAGTTGAATTAACCAAGATCAAAACCAGCACAAGTCTCATGGTTGTAGTTTTCAGCGACTGAAGTTTTGGGGTCAAGAGCTGGCCCTAGAGCCTCTACACAGGCTGTTGAAATTCCTTATGAGTGATTTCAAACAGTGCAATTTGTGACAAAAAATTCCGCTAAAACAGAGGGCCGGCACAGTGCTGTGAATACATTGGAGAATTTACATGTAAAGTTGAGCGTTATGCAACCTTACTCGCCCAAAAGCTCAATATGAGGAAAAGATTTGTCAACCAGGCTGCTTCTCTGGCAACCGCAACATTCCAATTTCGGAACACAATAGGCACACGACTTTACGCAAGTACTTTTCTTGTCGTTGTTGTCCAGATCCCCATATATTGCGGATCGGCTCAATAAACCAGACGCTGTGGATGTGAACAAGGGCAAGATCGCACAAAGTCATGTAAGCGAAGCTGCTGAACAGCCCTATGTATGCATCTCAACTCCTAAAACAGCCAGAAGTCGTAGTCATTTTGAAAGCTGAACCTGGAAACTTCAAAATTAGTTTCGTTAAAAAAAAACAATAACGCAGCAAAAACAAAAAAGAAACAGGTCATTCTGGTCCTGGCTCCATATCCATTCTGGGCAGTGTCACTCCTATTCCTTTTCCCCTGGCAAGTCATGAACGTGTTTCCCTTACACCCTCACGCTTCCTTCCCTTCCGCCGCAGAACCCCCTCGACAGCATTGATTGCTCCATATTTCAGGAGGATCTCAGGTTCCACCCCTGAAGCTGTGATACTTGCTCCTTCGAAACAAGAATGCGTTACAGCAGCAATTGCCTTCAGGGACCCTGGACCTAGCTTCCAGCACGTGCAGCTTCCCACGACTAAAAAGTATCACGAGAAAACTACTTTACTTCCCTATCTGCTTAGCCATTGAGTGCGCGGAGTCACCCTTCAGCTTCGTCGTCGACTGTGTGGGACCTTGAGATCTCTCCGTTTTGAGTCGTGAGTATCAAAGTTGTAAAGAATGCTAACCCCAGGCAGCGGAAGGATACAGCTGTAACTGCTGATAAACAGATCAAGACTTCAAATCCTGATGCTTGCAATAACATACTGGGCTGTCAACTTTATTTTTAGGAAAGAGGTAAAATGTACTGGAAGACTCTACAGCCATCTTAACAATATTGCAAACAGGAAGATTATCATGATCAGTGAGGTGATGTTTCATAAAAATAACCGAAAATCAGACGAGGTTATCATTTCAACGTTCTTCGGCTTTTCTCCTTGTGGTGAGGTCGAAGAGCCTTGCATTTCACAAACCTGTGACTGGGCCGCAGAGTTGTAGTCACCAGCATCCAACGCCTGACAAAGCTGCTTCAACTTGATCCCAACATTGGAAGAAATGTCTGAGCTGTTCATCTTGGTGAAAAGCATTCCGAGTTTTTTCGAGTTGTCATCGATCTCCCGCTTCCGCATGGGGTTTGCTCCTAGCCCGCCACCAGCAGCAGTCGTCTCATTAAACAGTCTTGTCAGAGTAGCTACCACTGGCTTGAGGTCATCTGCAATGAATCACAGCCAGACAATCGCAGCTGTTATCATCCCAGCTCAATCAAGATGCAAAACTTCAAATTGACATGAACACTTAAATTTGAGGAAAGTCCATGAATCCGCAGTCGAGGATTGAGAGTAAGCGCGGGAGTGAAGAAAAAGCAGCAGAGGAGCAGCAGAGGAGATGATGAAGAAGGAGAACACAAGATAAACCGAATGTCCATTATATCCTCTCTTCCTGCCACCGGCTCATCACCCTTGAATCCCCTCCTCTTCATTGCTCTTCAATTACCGAAGCGCACACAATTGCAGCAGCGTGCGCCCTCTTCTTCCTCGGGCACGCAGTTCCCAAGTTGCCTTAAACCACCACTACCTCTGTCACTCTTGGGAAAAAAGGGAAAACTGGCTGTTTTCCCACTTTTTCCAAATTTTTTCGGGGTCTGCGGAGGCTCGGCAGTTGGGCCTTGCAGGCCCGTTCGGAAAGCAAAACGAAAACAAAAGACCAAGTCCGTGAAGGCCGTGCACGAAGATGTGCTCAGGCCCAGCTCTGCAGTTGAGGGCCTGGACCTTTTACAGTTGGGCACACCCAAAATTTCCTGACTTCGGCTGTTGTCTGCATTTGCACTGTTCCTGGGATAAGTACGTCGACAATGCTGCAGTCTCGCAGGCCCGTGGCCACTGTGTAATGTATCTGCCGCAGAATGCATGTGCCCAGGGCACAACAACCTGGGTCAACTGTACAGTGTAGCCCATGCGTTTGGAAAGGACTGAGAGGCTCACATTTCCGCCTAACCAACTGGCGTGCCACGACTGTCCGAGTGCCCACATATGGAAATTCGTCAAAATTTCGGCCTCTTGTGAATAATCAGCCCCGCCTTCACTTAGGGTGGGCACAAGGCTTGCTAAGGGCCACTGCCCAGAACATGTGCATGTCCGATCAGAGCCCTGTGAGGGCTCATTCCTCGCAGAGACTAGTCAGGAATAGGAATAGAATTGCTTGTAGGGGTCTGGACATACTTATTGATACAGCTCTACTACTTCCCGTACATGCTGGACAGAACATTTATTTTATTTTATTTATTTTTAACATCTGTCAGAGGCCACGCTACGGTAGGTTCCAGTGAGAACGCTACTGCAGATTGCACTCCAGGTATAGCTGACGAGTGAAGAAGACAGCGAAGGTGAGGGAACAGAATCCGGGGACGGACGACTACCACAGAGGTGGCACTTAGTCCGCCGATCACTTGTCTGCCTTTAGCAGGTCGAAGGCCACACCATGGTAGGTTCCAGCGAGAATGCTAGTGCAGATTGCACTCTGGGTATAGCTGATGAGTGAAGAAGACAACATAGGTGAGGGACTAGACTTTAGGGGACCGAGGACAACCAGATGGGTGAGGAAAGGGGACTACGGCGAGCAGCTGAGGAGAGGAGGCATTTGAAGAGGTCATAGGGAGCAGGAGCTGAAGCAGAGAGGGCTGTAGCAGCAGCAGCAGTTGCACACGCTAGAGCTGAAGCAGCGGCAGCAATGCCTACCACTGCTGCAACTTCGCAGGCCACTTCTCAGGCCACTTTGTCTACTGTCAGTCAGAGTGCATCAGGGTCGTCCTGCACGCACAGCTAGAAGACCAGCTCAAGGAAGCACCGGATAAGAGAAGGGAGGAGGACTTCAGGGGGATAGAGGCTTTGGATAAGGCAACAATCAGTCCGGATGTCAAGGCACGACAGGCAGGCTGGACATGGCCGAGGTACGGGCTGTCCAGCAGGATATGCTGTCTTATCTCATAGCAGGTCAGGACCAGAGCCTGGCAGTGCTCAGAGGTCCTAGGGCTATGCCAAGGCCAGCGCAGCCTGTGATAGCCCCTCCAGCGGTGGCCAGTCCATCCGTGTCACTGCCACCTATAAGAGGTCCCTTTGTCGCTCAATTTGGCACATCTCCAGCAAGCGGTCCATCAGTAGGTAGTAGTGGGCAGACTCCAGGACCAACTTTTTCAGTCCTCTGTCCAGCTGCTGCAGCTACGGCACAGCAGCCAGGTCAGCAGCCTTGCCACAGGTTCAGCAACCTCTGCAGCAGGTGCAGCCACCTCTGCAGCTGTCTCTTATACACATCTAGATGTGTATAAGAGACAGCCTCTGCAGCAGGACCAACTTTTTCAGTCCTCTGTCCAGCTGCTGCAGCTACAGCACAGCAGCCAGGTCAGCAGCCTTGCCACAGGTTCAGCAACCTCTGCAGCAGGTGCAGCCACCTCTGCAGCAGGACCAACTTTTTGCAACTACGGCACAGCAGCCAGGTCAGCAGCCTTGCCACAGGTTCAGCAACCTCTGCAGCAGGTGCAGCCACCTATGCAGCAGGTCCTCAACTTGTTCCGCCGCTTCCTGTTGCGCCTTTGGTTCCCAAGATATACCATTGGAACTCCTAAACCTTTTTCAGGTGACAAGAAAAAGGAGAACCTCAACACCTGGTTGAGGAAGGAATAAGCTCACGAGGTTCGAGGAAGAGGTGATCGTGGCTGCTCCCTACCTTGAAGGATCAGCAGCAAGGCGATTAGATGGGAGATCACAGCATGAAGGATACAGTCGTAAATTCGGCACCTGAGCTCAGGCAAGGAGTCTGGAGGACTTTCTCAAGTTAATAGAGGAGCGGTGGCATGACCTTCAAGAGGCGCAGAAAGCCACTGACAAGTTAATAAATCAAGGATCTAAGAGATACAGATCTGTCCACGAGGTCACCGACACGGCAGAGATGTTGATCATCCTCCCAGGAGTGAGGTACGATCCACAAATCCTCATGATCACATACTTGAGATGTCTTCCAACAGACGTCAAAAATATGTTGGTTAGTAACGCATGTTCACGACTTTCCATCTTTCAGTAAGTAGGCTCTAGACTTAAGAGGCCAAGCTTGGGAATGTACAGCAAGCAGCAACAGACAGGAGGAACAAGCTCCGCCAAGACTGGAGGAAGAACGGCAACCTCATGTTCGTTTAACAACTGCAATATGACTAAGATTGAAGACTTTCCCGATCTTGGGGATGGCAGGGAGTGCAGAAACTTCGGAGGGTGGAGTAGCACCTCCCTTGAAAGAAAAGGCTAAGGGGACCAGGAAACATAAAGGCAGTCGGCCCAAGAGTCAAGAGACAGGCCAAGGCCCACCAACATGGGTTACACTTGGTCTGGAGTACGATGTGTGCTGTGACCGTTGCGTTTGGGGCACGTGTCTGAATTGTGCCTAATATGGGCACACAGTTCCACGCTAGAAGAACAAGAAAGTCCTGGCGAAGGTGTCTCCCACAATCGGGTCATCGGTACCTTCAACCTCTAGTGGTGGTTCTGCGAGCACATCTCAAGGGAAAACATCGGGCCAGTAGGAGTTTTAACTGCTCCTACTTGGGCTGAAGTGGTGGCCACACTCTCTCCACCTCAGACGATGGCCAAGGTTATTGACTCTATGATCGCCTCGCAGACAAACCCGAACCAAACGATACTCTGTTCGATGGATGTGTCCGAGTCCTTAGTTATAAAGTGAGTGGTTGGAGGACCCTGACTCCTGGGCAATCATGGGTAGAGGTCATAAGGGTGAACACTTCCTCATAGAAGTCGATGGAGGTGGCCATAAGTCAATGTAGGTTGGCACCTAGTAGATCTGTAGCATCCACTCTTGACAACAAGCAGTCTATGGTGGTCAAGGACTATGTGAAAGATGTAGTATGAACCTTATCCTATGGAGGAGGGGAACTGAGACACAAGATCTCGTTCCTGGTTAGCGACGATCATCCATTTGAGATGTTGCTATAGAGGACGGTTCCACAGGATATCTCCAGCGGAGTTGGATGAACTTTGCCGGCAGCTCAAGGAGCTCACAGAGAAAGGCTGGATCTGGCCTAGCACGTCCCCGTACGGTTCGCCGGTGCAATTTGTTCCCAAGAAAGGGGGGACTGACTAAGGATGTGCATTGACTATACGGGCCTCAATGTCAGTACTTCACCAAGATCAATTTGAAGTTTGGATACCATCAGATTGCTATGAGACCTGAGGATCAGTAAAAAGCATTCCAGACCAGGTACAGTCTGTACGCATTTGTAGTGATGCCTCTGGGTCTTTGCAATGCTCCTGGGACTCCTGGGACGTTCCAGTACGCCATGAGTAGTGTTTCATGACTACTTGGATAAGAATATTGCCTTGTACCTCGACGACTTTCTTATCTCAAGTAGGACTGTGGAGGAGCATCCCAAGCACGTGGACTTGGTGCTCAGTCTCCTTCGTCAGCACTAGTACAAGATCAACTTGGAAAAATGCAAATTTGGTCACACCAAGATCTTGTATCTGGGTCATGAAATTTCGACGGATGGAATGAGGCCGGAAAATGCGAAGGCGGCCAGCATACGTGGCTGGCCACAACCGCAGTCTGTGATTGAGGTGAGGTCTTTCTTGGAGATGATAGGCTACTATCATCCGTTTGAGAAGAACTATAGTACTATAGCTTCCCCATTGACAGACCTTACACACCTTGACACCCCCTAGCAGTGGACAGATGAGTGTGAGATGGCCTTCAAGACTGAAGTACGCTCTCATGCGCCATGAGGCCTTGAACCTCTCGAATCCTTACAAGCCTTTCATTGTGACTATAGACGCCAGCCAATATGGCATTGGTGCGGTCCTTGTGCAGCAGGAGAAAAAGAAGTTGAGGCCAATCGAGTACACGAGTAAGAAGATGCCATCTCAAAAGCTAGCTAAGTCAACCTACGAGCACATGCTCTACGCCCTATACATGGCGTTGACTCACTAGAGACACTACCTCCTTGGCAGATTTTTCTATGTGAGCGATCTGACCATGAGACTCTTCGCTGGATTAGGACGCAGCCTGCACTCTCCGATGCACTGAAGACATGGATAGAAGTCATAGACATGTATGACTTCAAGTTAGACGACCTGAGAGCAAAATAAGGGAGCCAGTGCATTGTCAAGAAGGGCAGATTACTTGACGTTGCGACCGAGTTTGGTATTTCAGATGTTG